ATTTTTTTCCCACATTGTAGGTTGTCTGTTAGCTCTGTTGGTGGTTTCTCTTGCAATGCAGAAGCGTTTTAATAAGATGAGATCCCAGTTGTTGATTCTTTGTGCTAGTTCCTGTGCTACTGAAGTTTTGTTGATTCTTTGTGCTAGTTCCCGTGCTACTGAGGTTCTGTTGAACAATATTTCTGATGTGCCTACATTTTGGTTATGGCCATACACCTGAGGTCAGTGACGTATTTTTTACTTGTGGCATCAGCACTCAAAGAATTTTGGATTTTGGAGTATTTCACGTTTTGGATTTTTAGATTAGGGATGTTTAACCTTTATTTGCACTTTTCTGAGAAGAGGAGTCAGGGTTTTTGTTTGATTGTAAAAAACAAAAGAAGTCCTTAATTTAAAGAGAATTAACAACTTTTTTTTTTTTTTTTTTTGAGACGGGGTCTTCTCATTTATGTAGTTCAGGCTGCCTTGAACTCACTATGTAGCCCAGGCTGGCCTGGAACTTGCTGTGCTCCTCCTGCCTCAGCCTCCTGTTTTTTTCCCTCTTACAATCACCCTTGTACAACTTTGGTCTTCCTCTGACTTTTGCTCTCTTTTCCTCTTGTAATTATGCTTAAAAGTAATGTACATTTTCTGTTTCCTTTAAAAAAATCCTCAGTCATTCCTTAGTCCTCTTCAGACTTACTTTCATCCCACCCCTACTGCTGAAATTGTTTTGTTTAAATAATGAGACTTCATTATTTTGAAAATGTTTTATTGAGTAGATATAAATATTTTATTGAATAAAATTACTGTTATATTGAACAACTTTATGGTTTCAGGCACTAGAGACATCAGAGTGCCCTGGACTATAGCTTGGTGGTAAAGTGTTGCCTAGCATATGTGAAGTCCTGGGTTGGATCTCTAGCATCTCTCCCCCACAATAAAAGAAAGGAAAAAAAAAAGAAGAAAATAGGTATCATAGTTACCAGACAAGAATTTACATGTCTTACAGTTTGTATCTTAGTAAAGGGAAGACAGACAATAAATGAGACCAAATAAGTGATACAATTTCAAGTAGCAATAGTGTAAATAGCCTAAACAGTGACTAGGAAAGGCTACTGTAGGAAAGAAATAGGTAAGACTATAATATTTGAGCCAGATTGCTGAGGATGAGAAGTAGCAAACCAT